ATGGAAGGTGAAGCTGAAGTATGTATATCACATGGTGAAAGCAGGGGAAAGAGAGAAAGTGGGGGAGGGGGTGCCACACACTTAACCAAATCTCAGGAGAACTCACTGTCACAAGGACAGTACCAAGCCATGAGGGATCAGCCCCCATGACCCAAACACCTCCCACCAGGCCCAACCTCCAACATTGGGGATTACAATTCAACATGAGATTTGGCAGAGACATATATTCAAACTGTTTCAGGTGATGAGGAACAAAAAGGGATTTTTAAAACACTTCAATTCTTTGGAATTTGAGAAAGCATAAAGTTAATTTGAAGAAATCATCTCTCAGATTTGAACCACAAAGTTACCCATATATTCATTTGAAATCTTGCCCTCTTATTTCTACTTTAGTTAATGAGACACCTCCAATAGACTAGTATGCTTTTAAAGCTCAATACACATTTAGTTATGACCTAAAGAATAGAAAATTGTGTGTGGTAGAAATGCTAGTAATTCCTAGGTTTTTGCCTCTCAAGGAGGCAGTGGGTAACTGAAATCTTGTTGTGATGTAGCTGGATAATGTGTGATCTGAGAACTTTGCACTGTTTACTGCAGAGTGGGTCTAGAATATTCCTATAAATATATTAACATAGTGAGCAGTGCTGGAGCACTCATTAGACAATCACCACTCCTGTGTCCCTGATGTGATCTGTCATGGAGCCCACCAGGTGGATTCATAAACACGCTTGTCTTACCACCATGGGAAGTAGATTTGGATCTACTTCAGAGTCATGATGTTGAATAGCCCTTATGAACTTTCAAGCACCTAAGAATGCAGAGACCTTTGGTCTCTAGAACTTTGAACTTAAGCATTTTGGAGAGAGATTTGCCTCTTTCTTCATGATGTTTGTGTTGTCATTAGGAGAAACAATGAGAAGTGATTTTTCATGATGACTGCCTTAGCCTTGAGGCTCAGCCAGCCCCCTCTAAAGGCCACTCCCTGCTGTATATTCTCAACAGATTTTCTCATTTACCCCTCAGAACTGCTCTGTAAGGATGGCATGGTCAATCCCATTTCACAGTTAATCAAGCTCAGACTCACAGAGCCTAAATCACTTTTCCAAGTAAGTGGCAGGATTGGAATGAGGTTCCATCCCTTACCTTCCCTAGAGGACCCTGAGCACCCCCTTTTAGAAGATGGGCTTCCAGGGCTTGAGAAATGGTCAAATTCCACTCCCCTGCTATTGTGGCCCAATGGGTTCCCACTCAACAACTCCTCTGGGTGCTGAAGATGACAGAGGAGGTGAAATCCTGTGCTTTGTGCCATGAGACTGGGGTGTAGGGCAACATGAGATAGCTGATCCCTCAAGTAGTGAGTGGGCTCAGGTAGAAGCTCAGGTGTTGGCCTTGGGACAGGTGAGCTGGAGAAAAAGAAAGCAACATGCACTGAATTACTGTAAGCAAATGCACTTTACACCTCATTTCCTTAATTTTAACTGCTATGCAAGGTCATTATAACCATTATTCAAATTAGGCTGCTGCCTTTAGAGAAGTTTATGTAAATCAGGGAGACAACTTTGTTGTTTCCTGATCAGCACAAACTCTGTATGTAGTACTCTAAATTTTTATCATTTTCTCTTGATTACTCCAGGAACCTGAATGCTCTAATCTCCCTCCAGGCTGATAGTACCAGCTCCCCAGGTGTTTCTCAATGTTTTTTTTTTTCTTTTGAAATTAAGAGCTGTAGAATTTTAAAGTCAAATTTTGGAATTTAATTGGATTAGTATCCATGATTTGTGAAACATAGCAACAAAATGATTGGCAACTATTTCCATAGAGAATTTAAGTGAAACATACATGCACAATAAACATATTAAAATATGCCAACACCACAAGAACTAAGATGCAAACATTTTAACATCTTGAGAATTTATAATGACAAGATGCAAAATATAAGTACTGTGATTACACTTTTGGAGAAGACAATGTGTGTGTGTAGGTGAATGTGTTCATGTGCACCTCACCTACAGGGATGTGTCTGGAATGTATGTACCAACCTAGGAACAGCAGACCCCTTGGGGTTAAGGAGTGGGAGGTGGACCAGTGAGAGCTCAAGTTAATTTTGATTTATGAATATTCTCTTTTGTGTACTGTTTGAAAATTGGTATTTGGGAATAAAAGTATTTTGATTAAAATTTGAACACATAAAATACTTTGGAACAAATTATCAGAGTTAAGGTGCAAGTATGTTCATTAATTCGAAAGAGCATTCATTATATTTTATTTTATTGTGAAGTAAATTAAATAACAAGTCTAATTTACAGAGGCTGTGTGTGTGTGTGTGTGTGTGTGTGTGTGTGTGTCTCCTCTAGCTCTACCACCCCAAATACGCAATCATGGATGCAATTTATCTTTAATTCCAACAGGGGTTGGAACCAGTCTCAGTTTCATATATTGTGGAACACGATGGATAAATGGAAATTGTCACTATTAGGTGAATAATTCCAGAAAACTGTGGCTGATACCTTGGCGCTAACCTCAAACCTCCATCCATCCCTCTTCCTTCCTGAGTCCCTGGTTTGGGATGATCAAAGCTGCATTTCTGTCTCTGGGCACTAAGAGGCATCACAGCTATCTCTGTTTTTGTACGTTTTGCGGAGTAACAAATGTTTTAAAATGACTTGTTTACTTTGATTCCAGTTCTGTTTGGAAAATTCACATGTATGTTAAAGCAGGTCCATTTGCTGTTGACCCCCAAGTCTACAATGCAATCACTGACTTATCATCTCTTCTCAGTGTGTGTTGAGGTGTCCACCCTGTGTGTGTGTGTGTGTGTGTGTGTGTGTGTGTGTGTGTGTGTCTGTGTGTGTATTATGGGGGACGGGGAATCCTCCTAGAAAGCAGGGCATTCAACTCTTCATAATTCCATCCCTGTTCAGGCTTCTCAGACTTTCTCACACTCTTTCAGTCTTCCCCTCTCCGGAACACTATAGACACAGGTCCCCAGATGCTGCCCCACTGCCTCTGACCTTTCTCAGTCACCTTTCTACAGCCCTGTCACTGCTACCTGGTGTTTCATTGTATGGATGCCCTGGAGCATATGTTTTTACATTTACACTGATCAGTTTTTTTTCTTACCAGCATGGGGAACTGGATTTGTGTCTTCTCAGAGGCATGATGCTTAACAGTTTTTGTGAGATTATGAAACACACAAGAATGTAGAGAACTCCATCTCTAAAACTCTGAACTCAAGGTGTATCAGGGAGATTTGCCTTCTTTATATGGGTGTCTGTATTTTCATTAGGAGAAACAATGAGAAATTATTTCCACGATGCCTGCCTTGGCCTTGAGGCTCAGGCAACCCCTACTGCTGTGTCTCAACATTTAAAGGGCCGTTGAAGTCTCCCAATCCATGCCATATACTCTGGATAGGTTTTCCGATTTGTGCCTGGGAAGAACTCCATAAAGATGGTATGGTCATCCCATTTTACAGATGACCAAGCTCAGGCTCACAGAACCTAAGTCACCTCTTCAGGTAAGTGGCAGGATTGGAATGAGGTTCTGTCCCTCACCCTCCCTAGAGGAACCTGAGCACCTCCCTTTTAGAAAATGGGCTTCCGGGGCTTGAGAAATGGTCAGATTCCACCATTCAGATCATGGCAATGTCTTTAGAGGAGTTTGTGTAAATCAGGGAGACAAGTTTGTTATTGTTTGTTCTGTATTGATGAGTATTTAGAATGCTTCTCATTTTTTCCTTTTTAAAAAGATTTCAGCAATGCTATAGCAAATAACCTCTTACCTGGCTAATTTGTACATGTGAAAAATGTTTCATCAATTACATGCTTAAACATTTATCCCTTGGGGCTTGATTTCAGTAATATAAACTCCCTTTCATGTGTCTGAGCATTCTCATTTCTTTAATCATCTATATACCTGTTGTAGTTACAATATTTAAATGTATTTGTAACTGATAAGTGTGTTTCCATTTCTTTCATGTATTTGGTCCCTCCTCCCACCCTAAAATACAGACACACATAAAGCCAGTTTTCACCTTTTTCCTTTGCAAATTAAAAAAAATCTTATTCAGTTTTTTCTGCATTTAAATTTTGTCAAATGGTAGGTGATTAGAGGATATTTAGATGGTTATATTTGCATTCCTTAACGTGTTAGTGAGCTACAATGTATTTTCTTGTGATTATTGGTCATTTGCGTTTCTTCATCTGTGAACAATATACATATTTTGTCAGTTTTGCTATAGGAACTGTGCATGTGTTAAACCCAAAACCCTTCACTGATCAATGCATGTGTTATTTCAACATCTCTTTGTGGGGTGAATATTATTTATAAGATACTCTAGGAAAATCCATGTCCTAGTCTCTTCTGAGATCTCAGCTCTTATATTTATGGGAAATGTCCACCTGCAGCAAGAAAAGTATCAGTGCCCACCCAAACATGTGTGGCTTGTCAAGGATCACATGCACAGACAGTTACGCTTATTCCTAAACCCTGCATGGCCGCAGAGTAAAAAGGATGTGTGCTGCATTATATGAGGAGAGCGTCGGCTCAGGACTGTGATTTCTGTGATCTCTATACTAACAGCAAGATTTTTAAAAATCACGTAACACTTCTGAGTTTGCCTTTTCTCATTGGTAAAATGGAAACAATCATAGCTACCAAAGTCAATTGTCCTGAAAAGCAAAAGAACAAAATATTTTAAGTGTCGTACACAGTGTAGGGTACATACGGTACTCAACGCATCTTAGTCCCCTTACTGTTCCATACTGGTCTTTCCTTTAAAGGAAATTCCTTTGACATAATCCAAAAAGCATGGTTCCATGATAACGATCACATGGAAATGTTAAGGGAAATGTACTCTGCTGGGTAAGAAAAAGTAAAACAATCACTGAACCAGTTTCCTAGAGTTTGTAAAAGAAAATCATGAAAGCCATCACCTCATTTCACTTCATTTCATAGACTTCCCCATCCCATTTTTTTATGTTCTATGTTAATTTCTCAAGAAAAATAGGCCCAGCACCACCTCTGCACGCAACCCCGTGGGCCTGGCTCAGGAGGGGGTCGGGGCCAGCACGATGAGCGCCCCAGGCAGCCCCGACCAGGCCTATGACTTCCTGCTCAAGTTCCTGCTGGTGGGTGACAGCGACGTGGGCAAGGGCGAGATCCTGGAGAGCCTGCAGGACGGTGCAGCCGAGTCCCCATACAGCTACCTAGGGGGGATCGACTACAAGACGACCACCATCCTGCTGGACGGCCAGCGGGTGAAGCTGAAGCTGTGGGATACATCGGGGCAGGGAAGATTTTGTACCATATTCCGCTCGTATTCTCGTGGTGCCCAAGGAGTGATCCTGGTGTACGACATTGCAAACCGCTGGTCCTTCGAGGGTATGGATCGATGGATTAAGAAGATTGATGAGCATGCCCCTGGTGTCCCTAAAATCCTGGTGGGGAATCGCCTACATCTGGCATTCAAGAGGCAGGTGCCCAGGGAGCAGGCCCAGGCCTACGCCGAGCGCCTGGGCGTGACCTTCTTTGAGGTCAGCCCCCTGTGCAATTTCAACATCATAGAGTCTTTCACGGAGCTGGCCAGGATCGTGCTGCTGCGGCACAGGTTGAACTGGCTCGGGAGGCCGAGCAAGGTACTGAGCTTGCAAGACCTCTGCTGCCGCGCCATCGTGTCCTGCACGCCCGTGCACCTGGTGGACAAGCTCCCGCTCCCCATTGCCTTAAGAAGCCACCTCAAGTCCTTCTCCATGGCCAAGGGCCTGAATGCCAGGATGATGCGTGGCCTCTCCTACTCCCTCACGGCGAGCTCCACTCACAATAGGAGCAGCCTCTGCAAAATGAAGATCGTCTGCCCACCCCGGAGTCCACCCAAAAACTGCACCAGAAACAGCTGCAAAATTTCTTAAGAAAGGCACCAAAAGGAAGCAAGTTGGAATCGCTCCAGGAAAAGCTCTGAATGGTTACACCTGGAAGAGGAAAGATGCATTCAAGATTCAAGAAATAGGTTTTCAGTTTCTCATGGGAACGATGCTGCTTGGCAATGTGTGTGATGCCTTCCATTAATAACAGCACTTATGCAGTTGGACTTTGAATTTCTACGTGGATGTGCATGTGTTTCTAAAGGGAAAATTAGTACTCTGCTCAACTCTTGTTAACATGAAATTTTTAATGTTATTTATATCATAATCACACTGCAACTTTTTCCATAAAATAACCGCTTTTGTAAGAATGTTGATATGGCAACGATGAGTATAAATTCAAGGGAATTTGAGAAGCAATGATAGTGAGATAATTCAGAGTCATCAATATTACAAGAGGGGCCTTTTTGTAAACCTTTTAAATGTCAAAGCACCAATTTATAAAACACTGCAGATGCACATAGAGATTATACATAACAGATCTGTCCAGCTTGTGCATGAAATGGATTTGATAAAGTTTTTGCTATGTTATTTTACTACATTTAGGGATTAATAAGTGATTTATATGTATGTTTTTCTGTAAATCTACTTTTTTGTACAAGATATTCCACAAGATATGAAGCTAAGGGAAGAAAACACCAAAGATATCTCTAGTTACGTTGAACATAGCCAACATGGTTTTAATGGATCAGTAAGAAAAAAGCCATTTCAGTAAGGAATGAAATGTTAAGAAATGTTAATGAAATGTTATTTAAGAAAATGTTTCTTAACAGTAAAAAGGCATATATTTTTCTTTTTTGGTAAAACAAAAAGAAAAAGAAAAATATGTATAATGTAACCCTGCAAGATGAGGCTTTGCAGAAAAACAATGTGATAGAACACGGGCAGGGAGGCCCATTATAAGGCTTTAGGTAAGTCATTTCTAAATGTGCTGGCCAGTTTTGGTTAACACCTCACAGATCAATGTAGAGGTTAATGAGATCCCATCCGGGAAAGCACGTCTGAGACCTTAGATGGGAAGGAAGGGAAAGTGATTTCCATGTAATTACTTTTCGATTTACACTGTGGGTTATTATAATAATCAATATTGGATGAACTGAGTAAATATAACTCTTTGCACTCTTTTGTAATTGAGTGACCATTTATTTTTGCGTTGTCATAGGGTGGTTGTAACATAACGTCCCACAGAAGGGCAGGATCTCTGGCCTCACGGAACCATGGGGACTCACCCTTCCTGAATGCTGGTACTTTTCTATCTCGTGAATTTCCCACAACATTCCTGGGAGGTAGAGGACACATTCTCTACACCATCCTGTAGCTGAAGAAACAGTGATGTTTGCAGGTTAAGGACACCTGGCTGGGGAGTGTCCTGCCACTAAGTGGAAAGGCAAAGACCAGCACCCTATATGCCCCCTCACAGATGGTGATGCTGGTGACATCACACCATAACCAAGTAAATCTTGATTTCCTGATGACCCTCGTCACTACTGAAATGTGTATCTTCAGCTCTGAAGCCAGGCTGACAGTTTTGTCTCTCTTCTGAAAGACAGAGAATCTTGTCAGACCTAAATCTCCTCCTCTGTAGACAAGGGAGCATCTAGGCCAGTGCTTTAGAAACTGGAGTCCCCAGACAATTCTTGTATCAGGAAGAATATGCACTCTCAGAGGGACAGGGGTCATGCTGAGGATGAGTGCTTGAAGGAGCAGGCCCCAAACACATGCAGATCAGGGATGCATAGAGTCTTTAATAGAAATTACCAAATCACCTGGAAAGAGGTTGTACTAAATGACATCCCCACCACCAATATAAAACAGGGTAGACTTCCCTGCATGCCCATCTCACTGGAATCCTGAATGGTTTCTTTTTATACTTTGATGATATGACAGGTGGAAATTCTTTCCTTGTCATTATATTTAATTTGATGTTCAGATAACTTACAAACTTCTCTAGTACACAAAATGGTCTGATAGTCATCACTGCATTATATTTTTATTGCAAAATGGTCCATTTTCATATGTAGCATAAAAACAATGAGCAAGAGACACATGAGCCTGCAGGTTCTCCTAGAGCTACTGCTAGCATTACGGTTCCAGGATGTGTGGTGGCCTCCGGGTGTTCCTAATGGCACTGTGTTTACAAAGAAGGGAATTAAGAATGTCTCTCCATGACATTGGTTGAGTTCAAGTTTGGAAAACATCTGGATCTGCACTTTGTGGAGTCCTTTTGAATGACACAAGAACTGGACCACAACACGCTTCTGAGCAGACTGTAATCCTTTCCCCATTGCCAAAAGCAAGCCTGTCTGTGACCTCAACTGCTAAGGTCAGGGTGGATCCCTCCAGGATGTAAGGTGTGTAAGTCGGCCTAAATCTGCCTCTGAACCCTCAAGCTGGGTGCTCCCATCTTGCTGCCATCAGTTGCAGAGACCTGAGAAACTGCATGCTTTCAGTCACCAATGCCATGGGTTCAGTCATCTGTGTGAGAATTCTGTCCTGAGAAAATACCATAAATTACCAGCAGCTCTTTGACACATCTTGCATCCATCTATCCATCTGTCCATCCATTCATCCCTACAGTTAATAGACATTAAGGCCAAACTCTATACCATCCCTTTTGTGAAGTTTTAGGCTTCCCCAGAATGTGAAGTGTGGAACTAGGGGCATGGTTAATTCAGTTTGTAGATCTAAAAAGAGATGGTCCCTTCCTCTTAATATTTCAACCTGACAGAGTCACTTATCATTGATAATTTTAAAACATAATACCCTGGACCCCTCTCTACATCCCCAGTTACGGTTCTCTTTACATATATTCTCCCCATTGTGACCAAAGTTCTTTGTTTTTGTTGTTGTTTTTGTTGTTGTTGTTGTTGTTGAGATGGAGTCTTGCTTTGTTGCCAGGCTGGAGTGCTGGAGTGCAGTGGTGTAATCTCGGCTCACTGCAACCTACATCTCCCGGTTCAAGCGATTCTCCTTCCTCAGCCTCCTGAGTAGCTGGGACTACAGGCGTGCGTCACCAAGCCCAGCTAATTTTTATATTTTTAGTAGAGACCGGGTTTCACCATGTTGGCCAGGATGGTCTCAATCTCTTGAGCTCGTGATCCACCTGCCTCAGCCTCCTGAAGTGCTGGGATTGCAGACGTGAGCCACGACCAAACTTTTCTGAAGAATTCTCAATGCTCAACTCACATTCCTCCACCTCAGTCCTCATTGCTTATCTACTGGCGCCTTTCTCCCCCACCTCACCGCCGAAATGAACCCTGCCAAGGTCTACAGCCACCTCTCTTTCACATTTATAGATCAAGAACGTTGAAATATACATCCTAATGTTTTCATCTGTATAATATTCTCTGGGAAGTTTTCTTATGCAGGTACTTATAAATTTATGCAGAAATGTATGCATTTATATAATTATCTGCAAAAATAAGGTTAATCCTACATTTAATATCATGACATGCTTCTCTCACTGAGAACATACCTCAAAGTTTATTGATTATGATTATACTTGAGTCTATACCATAGGGATAGTAGAAGTACTAATAGCCAGTAAAGACAGAAGAAACGAAATTTAAATGGCTAAAACATTCTTTGCCAAGTCCTTTTTAGGCATTGAGTCGTTCAATTTTCAGAGCACCCTTACAAGGTAAACACTGTTGCTAATTCCCATTTCATAGACAAAAATCTGAAGTACAGAGTGAATAAGGACTCTGCCTGAGACCATACAGTTAGGGAGCGGGAGAGCTTAGATTTGTGTCCGGTACATCATGCTCCAGAGCCTGGGAGACTGTCAAAGCTCTGTTGTTAGGTGAAAAAAGCAGTCTGCACAAGCATGCATACTTTAGAAGGTTACTAAAATGAATACTTTGTATATTAATATATTTATAAGAAAAGCTGGACATAATGAGAAAAGGTGGATGATTATAACCTTGGTGAGAGGACATTCATTACAATCATATGGACAGAAGACATAGTGTAGTGGGATAAGTGATCAAAGGGAAGTGAGAAATGTAGAAAAGCCTTTTCCATAATTTGATTTTAAAGATTTTAGATATATATATCATATACACATTTAGCAATTGGCAAATGAAAGAATGGATAATTGTGTGTCAAAGGTATGCCAGTAATGCTAAGATTTTTGTCCCTCAGGAAGGCAGCAGGTGGCTGAAATGCTGGTTGCTGTGGCTGGCTAATGCATGACCTAAGGACCTGTGCAATGGTGACAACAGAATAGGTCCAGAATTTTTCTATAAATATATTAACATATCAAGTAGCCCAGGAGCAGCCTCTGGGCAAACACCAAACCTTGCATCCCTGGTGCTATCTATCTCTGATCCTACCAGGTGAGTTCCCAGGCACACCTATCTTGCACACTGCCCCCACCCCCAACCTGGGAAGCTGGATTTGGGTGTGCTCAGTAGCGTGACGTTGGGTAGCTTGTATGAGATAATGAAATACTTCAAAATGCAGAATACTTTGTCTCTAAAACTTTGAACTTAATGCATATTACATAGATATTTGCTTCTTTTAACTAGATGTTTGTGTTCCCATGAGAAGAAGCAATGAGAAATGGTTTTTCATGCTTCCTTAGCTCTGAGGCTCAGCCAGCCCCTACTGCTGTGTCCCTATATTTAAAGACCACCAAAGTCCTACTCCATGCCATATACTCTGGACAGGTTTTCTCATTAACCACTCAAGACAGCTCTGTAAGGATGGCATGGTCAGTCCCATTTCACAGATGACCAAGCTCAAGCTCACAGAGCCCAAGTCACCTCTCCAAGTAAGTGGTAGAATTGGAATGAGGTCCCCTCTAGAGGACTCTGAGCAGCCTCCTTATTTAGAAGATGGGCATCCGGAACTTAAGAAATGGTCAGATTTCACTCCTCTGCTATTGTGAACCCATGAGTCTTTACTCAACAACTCTTCAGGGTGTTGAAGATGACAGAGGTGAGATCCCATTTTTTGTGCCAAGAGACCTGGGTGTAGGGCCACACAAGTTGGATGATCCATGAAGTGATGAATGCGTTCAGGCTGGAGCTCAAGTGTTGGCCTTGGGACAGGTGAGCTGAAGAGAAGGAAAGTTACATGCACTGAGCTACTGTAAACCAATGCAATTTACACCTCATCTCCTTTAATCTTAACAACCATTCAAGTAACCCATCACTCTGAGCATTATTCACATCAGCGTACTTTGGGAAAATTTAGGGAAATCAAGGGGACATCTTTGTTGTCTTCTCATAGCAGGCAATTCTGAATTACTCTAATTTCCATTTTGTCTTCATGTTTTATGAGCTTTGAATGATCTAATCTCTTTGGAATCAGCCATTACATGTTCCAATACTGTTCCTTTTTTTTCTTAAATTATAATCTGTATAGCTTTACGTCACAGTATATTAAAATTGAAAAATTTTAGATTTAAAAAACCCACTAAGAATAGTTGGTGAACTTTGGAAAAAATTCTTGCAAACTACACCTGAGATATTGGGCTAGTATCCATGCTTAGTGAAACTAACAAGCAAAGAGATTGGCAAGTAACTGTAACGGAGACTTCAAATATATATATGTATATATGAAACACAATGATAATAAACATGTTAAATATGCCAAATTCACAAGAAGTCAATGTAAATTCTCAGAAGATATTAAGTGGAAAAACAAATTCTAAAGACTGTGATTGCACTTTTGGGAAAGACTGTGTGTATGTGAAGGTGAACATGTTTGTGTGTACCTCACTTACTGGGACACATCTGGAGAGTATCTACTACCCTAGGAACAGCAGACCACTTGAAGTCAGGGAGTAGGAGTAGGGTCAGGTCAGTTGGAGATGCAGATTAATTATAATTCATGAATGTGCTTTTGTATATTTATTGAATTTTTATATTTAGGAAAAACTGGATAAAATATTTAAGACGAAATATTTTGAATAGATCTACAAAAGTAAGGTCCACATATGCTTTGTACTATAGAAAAGCATTCATTTTATTCAATTTCCTGGAGAAATAAAGTAGGTTTTTAAATATGCATTGACGTGTGCATGCGTTTGTGTGTGTGTGTGTGTGTGTGTGGTTTGTCTCTACTACTGACAGTCACAGACTTATAGTCAGTTCATTCTAGGGCTTCCACTCTCAGACATCCT